GTCTCTATTTCCGCTACCACTCTAATTTGGTCTCAAAACTTTATAAATAGGATATATTAATAAATGGCTTATTCAATTTTACTTTTTGAACTAATTATCAATTAAGAAGTGTTGATGGAAAAGATCATTATCCAGAGACAAAAATAAGGACAATAAATATCTTTCAATTTATCTTACTGATAGTTTATAAAAATGAGGACAATAAAATAAGTTAAAACACGAACTTTCTTATTTATAAAAGCTACTATTCTTCTAATTAAGTAATTGTCCATAAAAGAAAAGTTTTACAAAGATTACATTCCTTGCAACATAGTACGTTAAATATTTTGGTGGGAGGATATTAAGATGTTTTTTTCTCTTGTCCTACCTCATTATATTTTTCAATTCAAGGCTGGGCACAACATATGGTTGTAATAATGTTCTTGAGAAAATTTTCTTGCCAAGTACAATCAAATTTATCCAACAGTGTATTGCTTTGTGTCTATCAATTAATGTCATGGCCATTATTTTAATTGTTGTCAAATACAAAGAGAAGAAATGTCTGTTCAGAAATATATAGTATGTAGGTTAGCATTTATTATACAACAAGATCTTTCCTGTTTTGTTTTCTCTTTCTTAATTATTTTGAACTTATCACAATTCCAAGTCTGCTTTTTGACTTTAAAGAATTATACCTGAAAGAATATTTAATCTAATGTCAAACAAGTAATTGTTTGCATGATAATTATGTTAAAAATCTTCCTTTTTTTAAAATAAGAATAAAAGTTTTGATAAAATAGTCCTATTTACTTCTGAACAATGTGGATGTTTGATACAATATATGTATTATTAGTTGACAGGAAGAGAATATATATATGTCTGGATATCAAAATTATTAGGATGATGATTTTTTTTCTTATTCATTAAGTGCCAAATGTAGCATGAAAGGCCATAATTAAGAAACTATTTAAGAAATTTTTCTTTTGATTGCTGACATAATTCTTGTTATTGTTCTCCTCTGGAAAGTTATTAATTATAATAAAGATGGTACATTTTTTTGCCATTATAATTTAACATGATCTGTAGAATATCTTTAAGCTCTTATTTCTGCAGCAGTGGCTATGGTATTGGAGCAGAACACTTCAATTTTTCCATTTGGTGACAAATTATTATGCTATAGTACCGACAAGCTTATTAATCGTTCTTTCACCATGTCAAAAGATAAAAGTTGTTACATGCTATTTTGCAAGATCTCGTTTATTAGCGGAAAATATATCAAAAGTATAAAGTAATTCTGACTTTTATTTCTCCTGAGTGTATCCTACTGACAAGACTAATTATTTACAATTAATCATTTTAATTGTTGGTATGTGATTTGTTAACTTTGGAGAGAAACAGGATAGCTTCTTTCACAGAAGAATATCCATTAAAAAACAAAGTATTTTAAGTCAGTTAATTAAAAGAATAATATGTTCTGAACATATTTTTGTTTTAGAGAAGGTATACTAATTACAAATTAGCTGTTCATCTTGCAAAAATCAATAATTGATGCTTTACATAATTAAAGATACTTGTATCAGTGAAAACAATGCAGTCAAACAATACTGTAACAAATGTTTCCAGTCATTTATCCTCTAAGTAATGACGTTTATAGTTTTAGTATTTTAAGAAATCATAAATTTTATTTTTGAAATATTTATTTACTTAAATCCAATACATATATTCAAGAAACGTCAAATTAATATCAAAGAGAATGAATGTATGATCCGAGTGCTTAAGCATAGTCATTGTTAATTGTGTACTGTACATGTATACATTATCATTTTCAGATCGTACTGTCGTGGGTGTAGTTTTATGAATATCTTAATATTAAATCGTTGGATGGATCACGTTTATAGAAGCGCACAAAAAAAATAAGATTTTAAAAATGAATTATGATTCATTGATGAATTTTTGATATTTAGATTATGTTAGAAGTAGACACGGAAACGGCAACGGCAACGTTTCCAGAAAATCAACTTTTTAAGGGTGGTACATAGGTTTTAAGTATTGTGTTGCATTATTTATGGTTCTCGATGGTGGCATTGGAAGTGAGCTCGTGTCCAGATTCATTACTGGACCTCTCTAAAGCGATTCCAAGAAACAAACGAGAGAGAAAAACATCCAAAAAATAAGGTTGAAATTAATGGATATAGGGCACACCCAGAGGTCTTTAGGGATGGACTTGTTAAATTATATTACTGAAAAGATGTGAGTAATCTGGTTTGTTTCGGTTTAATCGTGTTCTTTCTGTTGCGTTTGCTTCGTGTGTTACGCTGTCGAGTTGTATACAGGATGTCGATGACCAGTAGCTCGCGGATCTTTTACTCTCACGAGCTGTATCCACAAAAGCTTTCGGTTAATGATCTCTTAATGACGTTTAGCACTTCGTTAGTGAGACTCATCGTTTACTATAAGTAGTCAAACGTCGATACTATCTATTCTCTATTTTTTATCATTATTCTGATGATGCTGATACAGTTATTATGCTTCAAAATAAAATGTATAGATCTGAGCGACCAATCGAAAATATCCTTGTTCTTTACATCTTAAGAACCGACTTATATTGGACAAGGACTATTTTATACGATTGCATTCCATCTTAACGTCACAATAACTTTAACAACAGAGCAAAATAACGACTGTATAAAAAAATATATCGACAATATTACTGATAGAAAAAGGTCTGCCCGACTAACGAAGTTCTAAAGTCCATTAGGGATCATTAACCAATGGCTTTTGGCGGACACGACATGTAAGCGCGTAGGCCATTGGTCATCGATCTCGAACTGATGTTCGAACGAAATTAAATTTACAGCTTCTTTGGTGATACCGACTTTCTAGGCGATAGAAAGACAAAATAAGATTTTATTATTGTGATGTATTATAACAGAAACTGTTGCTAAGTTTTAATAAAATGCTTCATGTTTCTGTCGCTGTATTTTCAGAGGGGAGAAAGATGAACTAATAAACAATCTTTTTGTTACGGTACATCTCACTTTTTAAATGATCGCTTGTGCAAAATGGTACATGTATAACTGTTAGAACTTCAACGATTGCATGTGTTTTCCTTTGTCCAATTGTCCTTTGGATTCAGCTAAATTATTAGTTAAAATAATGAAATTTAAGAATAGTTATTCGTATGACACGTAAGAAGACGATTTACTCTAATAATAGAAAACGCATTCGATCATTTACTTTAGGTTTTTAAGGGAAATACTATATTTGAAAGATAGAACACAAAGAACGAGTCTTTATAAACGTGTTTTTGTTTGTCTGCAGTTAAAAAAAAAGAAAAATATTATATAATTACCAGTTAGTTTTTTACAATTCTTTTTCCTTCTCCCTACAAAAACAGGAATGTTGGAACATTTAATGCTCCTTCAGTCTAACAATAAATAAGTAAACCGATAAAATGTTGCTTTATCACTTAATATGACAAGATAGATTTTTAATATACAGGTTTTAGAATTTTCGTGCCTTAGACTGTTATAAGAACGGACCAAATTAACTTGATTATCGGATTTTGCCATTTAAATAATGCGAATTTTATGGCAATTTATATATATACCAGTATAAAGAAATTGTCATAAAATTCCTATCGTTTAAACGCGCAAAGTCCAGTGATCTAGTTAATTTGGCTCGTTCTTACAACTGTCTAAGGCACGAAAGTTCGAAAATCCGAGGTACGATATCACGTGTACAAATGTGAGACTCCATCAAAGTCTTTTATAACCTTGCACGTGATATTTGTGTATATATACAGGGTGTCGTGTTCGCGTTTTTGTTGTCTGTTCCTATTATTTCACGTTAACTATATATCCTATAAATGTATACCTAGAATATACGTTTGCATCTAGTTAATTTTGAAGAAGCAAAAAATTCAGCGAATAGAAAATTATATTAAAAAAAAATTCAAATGCCGTATTGATCGGATTTTTCCCCCTTAGCATAATCTCTAAATTTATTATTTTAACTTCAATATCTTTTATTTCGGATATACATAGGTTGTATTTATATAGATCTGTATATAAAATGGCTGTTCGTAAGCGGTTAGATCTGGAGAAATTGGATTAGAATTTTTTATATACATATTTTAATTCTGTCGCTCGCCGATAACACTAAAAAAATAGATTAAAGAAATTTTGCACCGCATCCAAAATCTCTACAATGTAACGGGAATAAGAGCCAGTTGTAAATATTGATTGGTACACATCACAACTTGTAATAATCCGTGCGGGATGCAGACTTATGATGATATCAAGTGATAAATAACTCTTAAAAGAGCACTCGCTTGATATTATAAAAATGTATGTGTGTGTGTGTATTTTTTCAAACTACCTTTTAATTTTTTATCGACAGACGAGGGGAGATTCGAAAGTTTTTAAAACGCTTCCCTTCGGGGGTAAAACCCATATTTTCATAGGCAGGATAAATGGCGCTGAAAGATTATCGATCTCTTTAGATAAATGTACTATCGAACACGTGTCGTCCTTCCATATCTTTTACGCCATTTAATGTAGCAAGCATCGTGATTCAGTGTAGACAATGGGATTGTTGTTGTCGAGTCGTGACATAGAGCACAATAACTTGAATTAACCTCTCTCCTGATAATTCTACTAACTAAACAAAACGAGAATCAATCAATAAATATTTCCGACTCCCTCGATAGACTGCCATTAATGTTTTTTTGTGTTTATTTCCTTTCTCACATGTATTTATATTCTCCGTTTTTTATTTTTTTTTAAATCGGGGTTTTCTGGAAAATTATCGAATTCTACCGCTTCGTAAAACATTTCTAGTTCCGGTATATCCTTTATTCGTTTCGGATTTTGAAGTGGAGTATAATCTTTCGAGTGTTATTTATTGACTGGTTAAGATCATTAGTCAATCTCTTTGTTGCTGCGGGGTGGCGGAACGTAGGAAATTTTAATAGCTCTCTGCATCCCCTCGGTTATAGAACAGGTGCACCCGTTTTTAAAACCCATCTAAGGCAGATTTTATTAGCCAGGCCTATAATTAATGGAGATAGTTTAGTGAGCTTTACGATGCTGCCTTCCCGAGTATTGTTATTAATGCTATCAAAATTTGTTTACAGTCTCGATTAAATCGTAAACACTACATCTATTTACAGATTTGACACTGTTTAATGTTTAGCGGCGCGTTTTATACATTTCTAGTGTATAAGTGAGTCAGATTATACGCATTACTCATCAGCTGACGAGCCTATCAGTAAGGATTCTTCACTAATTATTCTTTAAGGAATCGCAAATTGAAATCGCGCAACTAGCACGACTTAATTTCGCCGTTAGACAATCTTTAAAATCTCTGGAGCGCCATATTTTTAAGTTGAGTTTCGGTGTTTAGTTAAAGAGCGTGGGGGAAATTTTTAAGAGTAAGAGTTATGTACTACCGTTTCGGAATATTTTTCACCGATCCAGCAAGGAAAAGAGGCAGCAGAAACCCCCTCGAATCAGTTATTCGATGCGCCGATAAGGATAAAGGTATACAAGTTGTTCTGTCATGTTCTTACATTAACTTAATACCGGCAACATTACGATAGCGATCTCGTCAGCTTGAAAAACAGGTTTTTATTTGCCTTCATCCTTTACAATAGCTCGAGTCCGACGCCACCCACGAAACTATTTTAGCTCCCTCCCCGTCTTCCCTCCGACCTCACGCCGAATGGAGAGGCCATTCGACAAATAAGAGATGGCCTCGAAGGTAGAATCTTATTTCGGATTTAACGCGATAAAAAATTATTAGTTAAGACTCCTCGAACCGGAAAAATGCTCGTAAAATACGTTCCGAAACAGTTTCTTTTTGTTTTTATCCAATAACGCCTTGAAATGTATTTAAGGGCGCCATTTTGGTTACGAGTTGGATAATAAGCGGGAAATTGGAGAGAAAGAGGTCCATTTTGTTGTTGGAGAAGTCGCGAATATCCCAACTTTCCGTCTGGATGGACGGTACACAATATAAATTACCGCTACATCATGGTCGCACGGACTCGCTAACCTGTCATTAGACACGGGAGGAGAATCTTTTCTAATTGATGCTGCGGGGATTTTTTACGTTCGTGACGTCACGTCGGGTACACGAATAAAGCATCTTTCTTAATTTGCACTCGATTAACACGCGGCGGCTTATCGCGGCCCTGGGCATGGCGATCGTGACAATGGGCACGGGGCAGGTGCGAAAGGCTGGTTCTCTACGGCGGGGTTCTCACAATGCAGTAGAGGACCGCATCTGGCGGAGGAGGCAGAGTCGCCTTCTGCTATTGTCGTTACAGAAGTTCCCTATTGAAAGCGTCCCTCCCCTCGAAGACCCGATTGAAGAGGTTTTTTTGTCAAACGACGTAATGATTATTTTCGAAATTCCGGCTCCGCATGCTGGGAATTTGATATAAACAGTGTACCCGGACGATTTTTTTACAATATAATTACCGGGCCATACACGAAAAAGAACGAGAGAGACGGTCGCTAGGGAATGCACGGAAAGGGAGAGAATCCATTCCATTGACTTTTTTACGACGAATTGAACGCGGAATTTCATATATCTCCCTTTTTTCCATCGGAAGTCGTTCTGGCGGAAGAGGGTTTGTATTAGTCCCCGTGTAGATCAATAAGATCCAGTCAGAAAACACGCGAGCGATCGCGATCCTTCTCCGATTCGCCCCGTTTAGAGGGAGGCGAAACGGCGACGGGCCGCATTCCATTTTAATGTCGACTTAATATTCCGGGCGAGAGTGGATAATGGATGTCCAGTTGGCTCGTGACTCGACGTTGGAAGTGTTAGGAAACGCGTACGGTCCTCCAAGGTCTTTATCGCTTCGCTCGCCCCCCTCGCCTGCGTCGCGTTATCGCGCGCACGAGGTAATTACACCGTCGACGAGGGGGTCGGAATGGAACTCAATTAAAGAGACTGCTTCCCCCTGGCAGATCGCGTATCCGGCCACGATTCGATAGGATAGGGTAATGCCGAAGACGGACAAGTGTACTGTACACACCGCAAAACATTCAATCAAGTGACAAGACGAGCGAGTAATTAAGCTGGTAGTAACTAGTGTCGAGCAAATGTTATAGATGATCCCCGGCGGATGTTGTGATAGATGAACGACAACAAATTCCCTCTCTGGTGCAAATGCTGATGGATCATGGCGTGCGTGGTGTTTTCGATAGTTTCCCGCTACGCGATTGTAGTTCCTTTTTTACGATTGACGATTCCCGTTATTGTAGTGTCTCCGCCCAACTTTTATTCATTCTGTCTTTCCAGGTGGGTGTTTTCGTTCAACTAGATCGTCCGTCCCGTCCCAGTCGTCTTTTTTCTTCCATCTGCCATGGATTGTGGGGTGCATCTGCGTCGATTGATGTCCTGTCTCTTCTACGTCTTCGTCCTCTCAGCCGTTTCGTGTTTAAGACCCGAGCCGAATCGCATCGTTCCGCCAGGTAGGAAAAGTTTATTTGGCGATTTTCTCGCTTCGGTCGCCGCGTTTTAAGCGAAAAGACACGATCCGTGTCCGAAGCGGGGAGGGAAAAAACGAACCGGAAGACGGAAAAACGTGTTCGGATCGAAGTACACAAGTTACCAATTTGTTACAATCGACCAATCGATTAGCGGGCGAAACGGTTCCACCTGTTAAACGCGCGTTCGAGTCTCTTCCGCTCGACCACGTGGCGGCTTTCGATCGCCGACGTCATGGCTGGCGATCACGTGACGGAATTCTCCGTAGGGCGACAATTCCGGCATCAGTATGCTGGTGCCGGCCGCCCTGTGGACGTTTTTAGTAAGTTGGCGATTGCTGGCGGTCGTTAACTCGCACGTCCGACACCACCGAGGTGGGTGCATTTCCGCCTTCGTAACCCGGTCGCGTCGCTTTCGCCATCGCTGGCCATTCATCAAGTAATTGCTGTATTTTTATCCATTGCAGAACACGTGCACGACTTCAGTTGCGGGACGCTATATTACCGCACTCTCTACCTGGATGCCAAGAGGGAGGTCCTGTTCGTGGGTTCCATGTAAGTATGCTAAAAGAAGGAAAAAAGAACGGAACGATAGACGCACTGTTCTCGTTCCGTATATTGAACTCGCCGGTTTCTAAGCCCGTTTCACGTGCTTATATACAGTATATACGATGTCGTTATTTTATAGTCCGTCGGCTCCACCCCGACCATAAAAATTTGTCACAGACCGTATTCTTTGCTTTCTCTCTTTCTCCTTAACAACTTTTCGTACGCATCCGCACGAGAGGCGTGCACCAAATAAAAACCGGCTTCCGAGAAACAATAATAGAAGAAAGTTTGCGCTGATTTTGCTGCAATTTTTTGTTTTTTTTTTTGTTTTTACATTTTCTTTCTTTGCAGGGACAAGATCTTCAAGGTGAACCTGAACAACGTGAACAAGACCCGTTGCGAGGTGAGACTGTTTTCCGATCCGCAAGAGGAATGGGTTGGTCATTGATTACTCATTAGAGCCGAGGTTTTGGGTGGTTAACGTTACCTGGCTAGCGGGTCCGGGACACGACGACGCCGTCGGAAATACATTACCTGGTTAAAAATACATGGTCCGTAAAGAGAGCGAATGCAGTAAAATAACCTCATTAAATAGATGATGTATGTACGTGTCAAGCGTATGAACAAGATCGACGTTCGGTTCGGTCCTTTTTCTTCTGGCTCCCATCGCATGTCGTCCAAACGACGTCGATCATGCGAGGAGGGTTTAACGGAGAGCGCGAGCGAGAGAAAGCGACTCGTTTTCTCTTCCCCCCTCTCGCGGAGGGTGGCCACTCCTTACTCTTTTAGTGCGGCTAATATGGCTGCGGATTAATCGCGACTCTTCTGGTCGCGCATCGATCTCACTTCCTATTCGGGGACGGGGATGGACGTACTAAGTGCTTTCTACTGTCGCCCTGTCAGTGAAAAAACGGTGTCGCCCTCCGGACGATTTTGTTCTCGCTTCGTCGTGTTCATTACGCGCTCCGACTGACATCTTCCGGTAAGGGACTCGTAATCTCCACCCTCGTTCCGCTCGCCTATTTCGCATCTTCCCTGAATCCTCGGAGGTTCTAACGTTAAGATGATGGGATGTGGGACAAAGATGCGGTATGGGGGAAGAGCTCGTGCAATTTTTTTTCCTCTTGTTCCTTTATCCGCGACGAGCGAAGTGATTGTCCATTTCGTGGCTGACTGCCCCTCGATGTTCGTCATACATCGTTGCCTTTTTTGTATTGATCTGCCAGTCTGTTCCCAGTCATCGAACGTCCCTGCTGTCTCCCTATTGTCACCGATCTTGTTTAAAACGCATTTGGAGAATTGTTTGTTCCCGCGCCGTCCGTCACTGCCTCGTTATTCCGTCGTCCGGAAGCTCCTGTCGGACAATTTAACAATATCGTTAGCGGTGAAATGGTTTTGGCCCCTGTGCAATTTGGGCCTCTCTGCCATCCCGAGACAGGTTGATTGTGAAATGTAAGTGACCCTGCAGTAAATGTCCTCTCTGCCTCTTCTTAAACACAAACAGATGGTTACACTTGACAGTGGTATAGTCTTGTTTTTGTTACCACTTAAGTTGTGTCTAAAATATCTCAGACTTTGTCCTGTCTCACTTGACTTGTGGAATGGTTCCTTAGCACTTGGAAATAGAATGAATTTTTATTATCTTTTCTGTTTTAATTTTAGAAACTGTAGATTTCCTTTATTAAAGCCGAGCTTTGTGTTTGGATCCTCATTTTGATGAATCTAACAAAATCCACATGCCGCTTTTTGACTGTTGACCTAAATGATGCTGTTTTCTACACATCCAGAAATTATATATATTCTATATAAATTACATACAACTAAACAAAAAACATAACAAAAAATTATTGAAATGCAATAAATACATATATATAAACTGTTGCACTTCAATAAATTTTTTGTTAGTTATAAGCACATTAGTTATGATTTTACATTTCTTTTACTGTTTCAGTGGAACAAGTTTATAGGAATTTTAGTTCAACTAAAAACATTACTCCACCTTCGATTGTTTTTGTATAGAAAATTGAATATTGTTTTAACTTTTTCTGTGTTCTTTATTATCCCAGCGAGGGGGAAAATCTTTGGAAACTTTTAAAGGAAGCTAAAATTGTTTTGTATTTCATGATTACCGACTGAAATCTTTTGTCAGTGAGTATTTAAATTTCAATTTATTTGGATTTCAAGTATCTAAATTTGCTTCTGTTTTCATCGTTTAAGTGACTCGGATCTTCATATTGATTGTCATGTTTGCAACCGTCTAATTAATTTATCCAAACTTGTTTACTCCATGCAATTATCTTTGTTGGTTTGTATATGGCCCATTAAAAAAACAATTTAGGACTTTGTAATAATTTTTAACGTTATAAAAAATGTTAATATTTAAACTGTGATATACTTTTTTAATGGGAAAGTTGTTTTATAAGGATAGAAATTCAATAATTGTGAAAAGTTAGGAAAACTTGTTAATTTCACAAGACATAATTAAATAAGTTTTAAATCAGTGTTTAGATTTAAAAAATTTAATATTCAAAATAAGCAATATTAGAATTTAAATTCTCTTTGAGCCAAATTTCAAATTTCTCTGTCCCTGAGAAGCACAATTATTTTTTAATGTTCGTTCATTAAAGTAATGTGCTTTTTTTTGTTTCTTTAACTTTTTGCACCTGCAATTGTACTTAAATTAGATCTTCAAAATTGATTTTTCTATTAGTTATTTGTAACAAATTTTTATCATTCATTGTTATTGAATTGCAGGTGGATCTAATTACATTGCCTCCATCAAACATACCCAGTTGTGTATCCAAAGGAAAATCTGAGGTAATTAATGATTTTAAAAATGGTTTACAGTTTTTTGTTGAATTAAATCAGTTTCATTTTATTTTATATCTTTTAGCATTATGATTGCAAAAACCATATCAGAGTTATTCAACCCATTAACGATGGAAACCGACTGTACGTGTGTGGCACCAATGCACATCATCCAACTGATTGGGTTATCCATGTAAGTGGATTATATTTTCAGGTTAATTTATGTAAACTTTTTTATATATGAAGCACTTTTTAATCAGGCTAACCTCACTCATCTTGGTGTACATGAGAAATTTCCAGGAATTGGAGATGGGATAGCAAAATGTCCATTTGATCCTGAAGATAATGCTACAGCAGTTTGGGTTGGTAAGTAAAAAATATACTTTATTTATTTGAATAGACTTTATAAGTGTGTAATTATATATTTGTTTTATACAGAACATGGAAATCCCAACGGGCTTCCCGGTCTTTATAGTGGCACGGTAGCAGAATTTACTAAAGCTGATACAGTTATTTTCCGTACCAATCTTTACAATATGACTACATTAAATAAAGTCCATCCATTTAAGCGTACCATCAAGTATGATTCCAAATGGCTCGAAAGTAAGTACAATATAAGGAAAAAATCAGAAAAAAGTTTATATTTATCATAAACATAATTATTTCTAGGACCACACTTTGTCGGATCTTATGATATTGGCGAATATGTATACTTCTTTTTCCGTGAAAGTGCAGTCGAATACATAAACTGTGGAAAAAATGTTTATTCTAGGGTGGCCAGAGTTTGTAAAGTAAGTATTACTAAATAATTTAAAAAATTTATTTTAAATGTATTGTTATAAAGGCATTCTCAATAAAAATTTTATGGAATAAATAAAATAATTTTTATTTGTAGAAAGATACAGGAGGTAAAAATATATTGAATAAAAATTGGGCATCATTTTTAAAAGCAAGACTTAATTGTTCCATCCCTGGTGAATTTCCATTTTATTTTAATGAAATTCGTAAGTTATTTTGCTTATTTGTTGAATTCTATAACAACTTACTGTTAAAGTTTAAAAAATAAAAATTAATGTTATATATATTTAATTTCAGAAAATATATATCAACATCCAGATGATGAAAGGATGTTTTATGGAGTTTTTACTACTTCCATGTAAGTTTTTACCCGTCATCTTCTATAACAAAACATTCAGAAGTTTTTGAGTGGTAAATTTATGATCCATTATTAAAATAAGCTCATCTCATCATAGGAATGGACTAATGGGTTCAGCCATCTGTACATTCAATTTGGATTCTATTCAAGAGGTGTTTAATGGTAAATTTAAGGAACAAGCAACTTCCTCTTCTGCTTGGCTTCCAGTTTTGACTAGTAAAGTTCCAGAACCAAGGCCGGGTCTATGTGTGAATGATACTCAAACACTTCCTGATTCTGTCCTTAATTTTATTCGTGGTCATCCTTTAATGGACTCTGCTGTTGCTCATGATAATGGCAAACCTGTATATTATAAACGTGATGTAATCTTCACTCGTCTAGTTGTAGATAGATTAGAAGTTGATGGAGTGCACTACACTGTATACTACACGGGAACAAGTATTTAACTTTCTTCAAGGCTTTCTTGATTAAAAAAGTATTTTATATTAACAATGAATATTTTTTTAATAGATAATGGTCTTATATACAAATTAGTAGAATGGTATGATAGAACAGGAGAAGAACATTCAAATCTTATTGATATTTTTGAAGCAACAACACCCGATCCCATTAGAGCAATGCAAATCTCAAGCAAAGTATTTAAATTTATTTGAAATTTTTCACATTAATATGATATAAATTAAGCACAATTTTTAATTATATCATTTATTTACAGCACAAATCATTATACGTGACTTCCGACAGAACAGTTCGGCAATTTAATATGGTCATGTGTAAAGGTCGCTATGAAAACTGCGTGCGTTGCATTCAAGATCCATATTGCGGGTGGGATAAGGATCGAAATGAATGCAGACATTACACTGCAGGGTTTGTACTAACTTTAAAAAAAATTAATTAAACAAAAAGTTATGAAAATAAAATTTTACTTTTCTTTCCAGACTATTGCAAGATGTTACTAATGCTACACCTGGTATCTGTGATAATCGTAAGTATTATAAATTATATTCCAGGAATATCATTACCTCAACATTTCTAATACTATAAACTTATTACAGATGTAAAAAATAAACCTCTTCATGTTTATTGGGGTCAAAGTGTGCATTTAGCTTGTCCCATTGAAATGCCAGATATGGAGAATATTAGGTTTGCTTTCCTTCAATGGTACCACTATAGCAGAGAAAAAGGAAAGTATCCAGTTATGCAACAACACAGAGATAAGTACATTCATACTGCTGATCATGGTTTAGTAATTCTTTCTGTCACTGAAAGGGATAGTGGACGATATGATTGCAAAATGGGCAGCAGTACGCTTTGCAGCTATAATATAACAGTTGATTCAAGTATATATTTACAAATTATTCTATTAAAGTTACACAAATTTAAATTTAAGTAAATACTTTTATTTTAATTGTTGCAGAAACATGTAATGCTCCAACAGACACTGATTATAGAAAGGTTTATTCTGACTGGTGTCAAGAATTTGAAAAATATAAAGTTGCTATGAAAACATGGCAAAATAAACAAGCTGTGAGTAGAATAAATTTATTAATTGATTATTTTTCAATCTACAATATTAAAATTTACTTGTAAATGGAATTCTTTAGAAGTGCCAGATTGCTCATCCGAATGATGTGACCTATCAGCGAAGTCCGAGTGCTTAATTTGTCCAGTGGGTGTAAAGCCACACCTACTGTGCTCAACATCTTTTGTCAAGTATCAGGAGGTGCTAAAAGCTGTGGGTTATGCAGCAGTATCATTTTTGTAAATACATGCACATTTCCTCTTTGCAAGATCAGGAGCCACTTCCCACATGGCATAATCATACAGTGCTATGCACATAGTATTGGCCATGGACTATAACGATATGCAAATGCTCAAAGCACAAGAATGTATTAGGTCATTGGTCGGTGGCATTCTACGTTTGTTCAGAATAAGGTGTACCATTGACAACATATCTGTGTGCTTAGGTTACGTTTCATACTTTGCACACGTCTAATAACGTGTGCATATGTGTGCATGTGTGTGTGTGTGAACGTCTTAAAGTACTGTGATTTAAGAATTTATGGGGTGGGTATATTTTTTGTCTTTTATTTTGAAAAGTTTTTTATAAAGAAGTAAATTTACTAGCCATCATTTGGGAAGTGATAGCTGCTTCAAGGTGCTGCTATTTGTAGCGTGTGTTTTTAAATTTTTTATCGATAATTTTTCCTTTTTAAATTATTCATCTCTAGAAAAAGAACATATGCATTAATTTAATGAGATGATAGGAAAGATTCAAACTGAAAATTTGTGATGGGCAAAACAATTAGAACAAAAATTTTCATTTATTACTCTAGCAATATACAATGCTAGATGTGTGTGCATGACATTCGTGAGGCATATTGCCTTTATCTGTGAAAATGAAACGTACGAAACAAGTACTGTTTCCCAAAATGGGATTATTGACAATAAGAAAAATTATATATACATAAACAGTACTAATAGAAGAAAAAATAAAGATGCTCAGATAGACAGTGCAAAATATCAAATAGACTGTTTTGTTGGAAACATTTCTTGTAGTGTTATTAAATTTCATGCCTTCAATTATTGCTCATCTAAATATTACTGTTAGTATACAGTGAGATTTCTGGAAAGTTGACAATCTTATCTTGTAAAACTAAATGGATTGAAATGCAATGTTTGGTGTGTACAGTGGCTGTGTCTGTAATTATTATATGAGGATAAAAAAATATGTTTATTCTTCTGTGATTGAAAAATGATGATAATGGTTAGACTGTTTATTTGCTTATAGGACTGTTTTAAAATGTTTGTTGATTAGTTAACCTTAGAAGTTATATTCAAAAAAAGGTAACCATTTAAAGGGAGAATAATTTGAAATGGTTATCAAACTATTTTGGATTTGTTGTAGAAATATACATAAGTTATAATATATCACTTTTATTCCCAACCTGTGTTTACTTTACACTAAACATATCATAGTTTGTCTTTTATGGGTATAAAGAACTTAAATCTATTGCTATTTTAGTAGGAAAAAAACGAAAAATAAGCCACAAATTTGCTCAGATTTGTGTAAAAATTGAAAGATTGCTTATTAGAAATTTGTGTCATACTTATGCACCAAATGGACAAAAAATGAATGTTCCCTTCTGTTTATAATAATTGTTAGATGTACAGCAAATTCTTTGTGGGTTCTGATTATCTCATTTGATATTTTTCACAGTGGGCACCTTATTATATATCAGACTTCTCCTTAGCACCAAGATGTCGATGGCCAAATAAAAAAAAATATATATATGTAAATTTATTCACGGCTGAATAGAGGCAGCTCTTCTGTTTAAAAAAAAAAAATGCAAGAGAAAAACAAACTTTAATTGCATAAGGACCATTGCTTATTTCAGTATTATATTTTTAATTTTACATCAAAAGTCAGGTATATTTATGATTACTGTCATGTCTTGACTCATCTTTTGTAAATGTCATATCTTCATTTACAGTTATTGTTGATCATCGAGGAAGAAACATTATTGTAATACTTAGGTTTTTTTATATCAAATGTTTTCATTCCACTGTACAACTACTCATTGAAACTTCAACTAGAAAATAATCTTTCTATTCTAATCACAATTTACAGCACATTATTCTAGACTAATGTAAGAATGGCATTTGCAACCTTTAAAAAAGAAAAAAAAATTATATATAGAACAATAACAAAGGTTTTGATAATATTGTAGGTTCTTTATAATATATATAAAATGAAAATTTTGCATTCCTGTAGCTTAAAAAAAAGGTTATTATTACATTAATTTATTCTCATTGTGCTGGTATAAACATTGGGTTTGTCATTTTGAATTTAAAAGGAAAAAATTCTAATCGTAACAAAATAGAAATTGCATTAATGAAATTTGATAAATTTGTATGTATTTCTTCTTCTTTTTTTTTTTTTTAAATATTTATGTTCCCAGTGTTTTAAAAACTCTCCAGTCCCCATTCTGCCAGCCGAACGGGATCAACCGGGTGACCCCATTCGATTCACATTACTCAACTCTCCTAGACAGTGTGCAAATTAAAACTTTCTGCTTAGCATAGCAATATTTCTTTATAATTATTGTATTAATAAAACTAATTTATCATTGCTTTGTACATAGTAGGAAAAAAATTTCTATATTGTTGGCTTCTGCACACTGCCACTTTAGCACCTTGTAAGTGTACAATTCACCCATTTTTATGCTGTTCATCAACATGTCCTGTACTTGTAAGGTGTAAGTTAATTAAAGAATTTAGACACCAAGTTCTGTTTTTGTTTTTAATCTAGAAACAATCACCAGTAAACAATCATTTTTCCTTTTTGTCTCAACTCTTCACAGTATTGATGCATTTCACTGCAGTAAAGATCAATCAATGCTAGTTTTCTCATCTGTGAATTTGATAAAGTAAAATAATAATAAATAGGGTGGTTATAATTAAACAGCAGGTGGAACTATTGGACCAAATCCGCCAAATTTAATGTTTTATTAACACTTAGTCTAAATAAATAGACACTTATACATGTATCGTTGAGTTTATCACACATATACTGGTGTGATAAGCCCGTCTGTGTATGTGTCTATTTATTTAGACCAGGGCTTCTTAAACTATGGGTCGCGACCCCGTTTGGGGTCGCTTAGCGAAATCTTGGGGTCGCGAGAATTTAATGCAAAATATTGAAAATAATCTGTGAGAGTTTGAAAATGGCATGGTTTGTGTCATGGGTTTCGTGAGTTGCGCTTTGTGTCACTTCTGGTGCAGCGAGACAACGATTCAACAACACTGACTGTAGTGTGAACTAGTGTAGTGTTGTCGCTTTTCAGTGTGTTCAGTTGTCTCTGTTCCATTGTAACACAAGAGTGAACTGTGGTAGTACACCATTATTGTTTTTGCAAATTTGTATATATCTTTATTTCATATTTTTTGGGGTCGCGAAAAAATCACAATCATAAATGGGGTCGTGAATAAAAAAAGTTTAAGAAGCCCTGATTTAGAGTAAATGTTAAATAGTAATAAGGGCAAAAAGCAATATATTATTCCAAATTTTATGTGTATACTTTCCTGACTATGGGTTTTTGATTTCGCAAATAAAAAGTTTCATTCCGAAATTTTTCGATAAGCGAAATTTGGCGCTAATTTCTCTACAATTTGTATTTTGTATCTCAACATAATGAAATTTGCAATCATTGCATTTTATGTCTCAACTTCTTTGTATTGACTGAATTTCTTTGAAAAAAACCTATCTAATATGCAAATTTTGACATCATCGCCAAATTTTCCCTATCAGAAAATTTTGGAACGAAACTTTTTATTTGTGAAATCGAAAACACACGATAAGAAGAATATGCATACCAATTTTGATTGCATTTAGTCTATTAGTTCTTTCTAGGCAGAGCTCTAAAATCCTGCTTAATTATAACAATCCTGTTTTTATTATTAAGAAAAATAATAATAAANAAATAATCTGTGAGAGTTTGAAAATGGCATGGTTTGTGTCATGGGTTTCGTGAGTTGCGCTTTGTGTCACTTCTGGTGCAGCGAGACAACGATTCAACAACACTGACTGTAGTGTGAACTAGTGTAGTGTGGATGTAACATCACGTAAAAAAGAGTAATTTTAATTTTAAAATTAGAATTATGTGGTAATAAATTACATAAAGAATTAGATCAACTGAGTTATTAAAAATTATATAATTAATTTTTTATTTATAATACAAAAGAAATTAATACCCAATTGATGGCCATTCTATCTTTTGCAGTTTCTTCAGCCATAATTTTGCTATAACCACTGAAAGTTTTGCTGGTTTGGTGATCACATTCCAGCCAATTGCTCTTCCAACAAGCAAATTTTTCTCTAAATAAAAACAGCAATATGTGATTTCAGTCTTTTATCATTTCAACTCCTGAAGACTGCACACTTTGTTTAATTATAAACTGTTTGTTTTTAAAAATTGGTATTTGTTTTAAGACCATTAAACTAAGATGTTAATTGCTTGTGTGAAGAAACCAAAATATTTAGATTTCATATTTAATTTAGTTTTTTGGATATCCAAACTCTTGATTTTATTTATTTTTTATCCATGTATTTAGCAAATGGGACTCAGAAAAATTAGTTTCTTATTCTATTGAATTTATAAGTTGGACATTTATTAAATTTTAAAAGTTTTTAATAACTTTATTTCTATGACCAATCTCATTCTTAATGATTTCAGAAAGATTGGCAAAATGTTCCAATTTTCTTGGATCTTAATCACAAATTTGTTATTAGTGTTCTTATGTACTGTACCAATTGATTCGCAGATATTAAAGTACTGTAATGTATAAACATTAAAATCTGAGATACTAAAAAAATGTTTGACTGAATGGGATGTTGTCCAAAAGACGGGATGTGAATCTACATCTTTTGGACAACACATCAAATGGGTGGAAGTGATAAGGTACTAACTTTCCACTCTTGAGACTGGTTTGGGTCTGTCAGCCAAAATTTTCATGAGTTAATCTGAATATGTTGGGCTCTATCCTCACCTCCCAGTATGAGTAAAAAGGCCCTCTTAGTGTCTGCAAAGCGGAACAAGTCTGGAATGAACAGGCAATGTGAATATTGTAATTTGAATGTACAGTATATATTTAAAAGGTCAATTTTTTCTGTTAAATTAAAGTAGGGTTACAAAAAAAAGGGTGTCCTCTAAAGTAAAAAAGGAAGTCCTCTTCTAAATACCATGGAGGACATGTCCTCTATTTTGACTTTAAAATTGTTTTTCTCTCCCTTCAAACACATTCATAATGTTCCGCCTTGTGGCCCATCCCTCCTCACTGGCCTGGCCAGACTCACAATAAGCTTGATAAGGCCCTCTTAGGGCTGCAGGATGGAGTTATAATAATGTTCTCTCTTTCAGAATAACTTATTTTAATTAAAAAATTTTTTATCCGATAAACCTTCGAGTAAATTTGTTTCGGAAGAGAGAATTAAAATTCATATTTTGCTGAAAGTACTTACTGATTTACGATCATCTCTAGACGTGCAATGTCTTTCTCCATCTGCAACGAATTTTTTAGATAAACAAAAATTTAATGTAGTATCTTGTTGTTGGGAATAATAGAAATCTACCTTATTTTTAATATTAGATTCAAGTCCATGCTCGTAAAATATTTTCGGTCGAATTCTCTCGAATCTGTACGATGTATTCTGTAAATCTCGAGCCATTTTCCCCCCTTCAATTTATTGAGAAATTCTCTTATAGAATCGAATCGAACTTCGAATATTTTAAGTAAATGAATGACACGTGACTTAATACTGTTAAAAAATTATAAATAAAAATTTGCTTATTAAATTTACGATCCTGAATTGTTTTGGTCACTTAATTCAGTTTTCATGTTTTTTTCTCTGATAATCATTTAAAGAAGTTTAAATATTTAAAATTGTGAGAGCAATAGGAATAACATATAACTAAAAAATTTTAGTATATTTAAAATATGCGCGAAGAAACATTAACTTTATTCTAACCAGGGCTGTGGAGTTGGAGTCGTGGAGTTTTGGTGTTGGAGTCGGAGTCGTCAAAAAATCCGCCGACTCCGACTCCCTTTTACTTACCAACTTGTTATGTATATAAGTCGGAGTCGGTAGATTTTTACGCGATTCCACAGGCCTGATTCTAACACTCGTCTCGGGAGTGATGAAATTCCTCGTTCTCTAAATATGAATAGAAATGTTCAAATTTTAGGGAAATTCACACTGAATAGGCAACTATTTAGCAATTACTACGATTAATTACGATTCTTACAATGTAGAAATATATTTAAGTTGCATCTGTATATTGCACCTGAAGACTTATAACAATTTCGTAAATTACAAGATCGGATATAAACTCATAATTTTCATTGAAGTCTCGAATTATTGTTATAAACCATGTCCTTTCCATCATCCTTTCTCGTCTCTGATCATTCCTTATCATCCTGGTTACCCATTGATAAAAAAAAAAAAAAAATCGCGCTGCAAATATTCTCAAAACCCTTTCATAATAATGAAGGTTAAAATTTTTTACTCCGCCTTGAGGGTGTTAACAGTAGTAAATAATGTATTATTTATTGACGTGCTGGTTAAGAAAAGCTAGGATGTCTGATTTAGCAGATCAAAATGACATTTTTTCTAACATTTTCGAATATTGTAGTAATTCATGGATGAATACGTGCATAGTTTCGAGATACGAGCTCAATAGTTTGCGAATTTATCAATACGTTCTTGCTAGAAAGCATTAGTTTTGCTTAAAATATCGCAATATGTGTTCGAAGTTTCAAAATTGATTACAGACTTCAAAAGACAACACCTATTAATGATATGTTTTGAAAATTAATTGGATTAAACTATTATTTTTTTGCTTATCAATTAATAAATGCAGGGTTTTCTAATATATTCTTTCTCTATTTTATAAATTTTAAATTCTGTAATTAATTAATGCTTAAATTCGTGAAATACGAAGGATGACTTTCGATTAGTGTTGCCACCTTTTCAAAATCGCTGACCCGGACGGCAGCAAGGTCTTAGATTTATAACCATACTTTATCATCGGTAATTGGTTTTGAAGTATTCCTTCCACGTTCCTAAGAAATTGTTATGGAAAATATTGCGTTGGATATAATACTTATTGCGATAAGCACTTCTCCTCAAAAGGAAATCTTACCCAAGCATGTAGGTTTAGAACATAAGCAAATCCTGGTGGAGGAAAAGTCTATACAGTCGACCCCCCCCTATAATTACGGTCCCTATAATTACGATTCCTATAAAACTACGAAAAAATATACGTATTTTGGAAATGTTGAGTCGGTTAGTGTAGAATCGATTAATTTTATGGAAGAAAATCTTTCAATCAGCCGTAGTCCGTAAACTTGACACGTGTCGGGCTGTGATTGGAACGACTCGTAAGAAATCGGATTCCTAATAAATTGGAACGTATCTATATCTTATAGGGAGTCGACTGTATTCTGTCGCGCGACTTCATGTTCTGAAGGATTTCCTACTTTCCTTCGATTACGTGAACATTTGGAGAAAATACTGTACCTGTTACAGTATATGAATTTACCCGTGGAATTAAGAAGCTGGAATTCAAAACTATGAAGGGTAAGTAAATTCTCTTCTGAAATTTTAAAAATGCTGTATATAATTAATATATCTTAAAATAATTGTTTTCATGAATATTAACAGCTCCTTCAGTTGTAAATAAAAATATTATGTACTGTATTTGACAGATTTCTACGAATGGAAAGCCACAGATAAGTTGAGAACCAACTAAAGTTAACTGTGTCGTACTGCCTAAAAATTTATGAAATTTATAAATTCTACTCGTGTGGCTCTGGCACATGGGATTGTGACTAACAAGTAAGCTCAATTCAGAAATGTACTGTACTTACAAAAGGAAAACACTCAATAACAGATTGTTATTGAGTGTTTTCCTTTTGTAAGTACAGTACATTTCTGTACTGTATCATTGTGACTAACAAGTAAGCTCAATTCAGAAATGTACTGTACTTACAAAAGGAAAACACTCAATAACAGATTGTGCATATGAAAATGTTGCAAATGTATAATTTTCAATAAATCTTTATGAATACTGTAGCATTTTTTATTAGCTAACGTTCAAATAAATCATTGCAGATCTGTTAGATCAGGCTACAAAAAGTTCACTAATATTTTACTGACGATGATAATTTGTTGATGGATTTAAACTACCAATTCAAAAGACTTTACTCAAATTACACAAGATACGCTTAACTCTTGGTATTCGCCAGGGTTAGATTTTTTAAAAACTCGTGTACACCAAATAAAGATGCCCATGGAGAAAATTGAGTTTGGTTTTGTGGAACATTTCAAAGATAAACGTTAATTATGAAATAAAATATTGCAAATTTTCTAATATAGAACGTTTAAATTATTTCTAAACAATGAATAATTTTATTAAATAATACAAAAAAAATCGAGTAAGAGATTGAAAATTCAACAGGAAAATCATGAGATTAAAAGAATTTAAGAACGAAAGTTTACATATTCTGTAGAATAACTTTTATTCTGTATAATTTTTATAATAATAATCTTTTATTCTTACTGTATAATTTTAAATATTTTGATAAAAATAATGAACAATAATCATCTTTTAAAGCTATACTGTAATATAAACAATGAACATTAGACAAAAGACAAATTTGACGCTAAACAAACGAACAGTAGCAAATTTTCGTAATAAATTAATTCTGACCACCACAGTCAAAATTATGCTTGTCCAGCTTCTTGACGTCACGAAGTAGCGACATCTTGTGGTAAAAAACAGAATACGGCTACGGAATCGTTCTGTAATTAGACGCCAGTCGGCAGGTCAGGTTTGTTCGAACAGAAGTTCCTGTCTCATGCGCAATGTCATTTTACAATGCGAAGAAGTAACGTGCATGCCGGTTCTAAATCAGTTACAGTTAGGGACTAGGGACTTGCGTAGGAGTAACGTAAGTAACCCTAAATTAAGAAAGAACAGGTACAGATGACATAGCTCTATTGGATATTGGAGAGGTGTACGATATTATTCAATACATGCAAAAAAAGAAAAAAGGTCGACAGGTTGTGCCAACATCAGCGTAAACAGACTAACATGGCAGGATTGTAGATGAGTTTCAGTAAGTGTGAGTTCTTTCGCTGTTAAAATCAGGGCCGTGCCGTGCTATGATGCAGTGATGCGGCCGCATCAGGCGGCACCGTAAGGGGGCGGCATAAGCAGCGAAATCAAAATATTATTTGAACCATTCAATAATTAAAAATTTTTACGCAATGCTTTTCTATATTGATCTATGTTATTCCGATATTGATATATACTATTAATGATTTATCGCACGCGTCTGCTTAAGTGCTTTCGGTACCCTTTGATTTCGGTTTATGGTGCAAATGTATTGTTGGAGAGCGGCAGTCAAAAGGCTTTTGTCAAGACAGCGCAAAGCTATTGTTTTTGTTTGTATTATACGGCGCGACTCTCCTAAAAGCTGAGGCGGCAATTATCATAAAAGACAATTGCACGTGTAACGTGCAATTGTCCTGATAATTGCCCTGTTGATAGTTCTGCTTTGACCTTAAATTATTGACAATATTTGGTTTTAACGTTAGTTTGTCTCTATAAGTAGCGAGTAGTTGTGCTGTGTTTAAATCAGTGAATCAGATATATATCTGTATCAGTATAATATTTTTGCATTTTTACTAGTTCAGTTTTTTGCGTTTAAAAAGTAGATCAGGTAAGAGAATTATTGATTTTTACAGCAATTTTAGTTACTTATTGTCATTGAAAAGGGTTATGTTGTGACAATAAGAACTCGAATTAAAAAGTAGCATTTGCATGAACTGGGTATATATCAGGTGCGGAACGTGTGCCTGTGTGTGATAGAGAGTTATTTAGGTAATATTGGACTACTTTTAAATTCTGTATGTGATAGAGAGATTTGCTAAGGAAATATTTGCATTTGCTACTTTTGCGTTCGTTATTTTTTGCTCTACTTTTACTAAATTTATATACGTTGAAGTGAAGCTAATACATATGTGAAAACGGCAGCTAGCTGTCAATTTGACAGATATTCGTTCTCTTTACTAGCGGATGAGCCCGGCGTTGCACGGGCAAAAAATAACGATAGCGAAGATTAAGATTTTTAGATTATAGCCGATTTTACCCGTTTTCACCGGATGCAAGAATTACGTCTCCCTCTTCCGAGATTAATTAGAGAATTTTTACATGGTCTGAAATTATGTTCGATTTTCTGCAAAAACGCAAAAAACCGCATCTAAAATAGTACAGTAAAACAGAGTTTTTTAAGATAATCCTTAACTCTGTCCCTCTCTTCCGCGGGGATAATTTCCAAAAATTCCTTCTTAGTGTGAATTCTCAAGGCGTATCCTACTAAAACGCAGTCAAAAACGCAAAAAATTGATTAAAAGAATTATTGAATTTTAATAGAATAAATCTTTAGTATTCAAAAAGAATTTTTATTTAAATAACCTATAAAATAAAAAAAATCAGAAAATTTTTTTCATTATAATGGAGAATTAACTTACTTGCTTGCTTTACTTGAATTATATGGTTGATTTTAAATTCTAAAATCTAAAAAAACTTGTTTGAAACTTTATATATTTCCAATTCAATATTTCGAATTTTTCGAATTTTGGATTTATTGTTTTTGGGTTACCCAAAAGATGGAAATTATTAAAATATTTATTAACTTACTTGCTTGCTTTACTTGAATTATATGGTTGATTTTAAATTCTAAAATCTAAAAAAAAACTTGTTTGAAACTTTATATATTTCCAATTCAATATTTCGAATTTTTCGAATTTTGGATTTATTGTTTTTGGGTTACACAAAAGATGGAAATTATTAAAATATTTATTAATTGCCAAAATGTATACTATATGTGTCACTATTTACTTTATTTATTATTTACACTTTATACCGACTAAAATTGACTCTCCTCTTCCCTCGAGGGGGTTGAAATTTCCAAAAATCCTTTTTAGTGTGCATTTTCATGACGTCCCCCACTAAAATGTAGTTAAAAACAAAAAAAAACACATCTAAAATAGTACAGTAGAAGCTGAGTTTTTAAGGATAATCGTCTCCCGCTCCCCTGCGGGGGAATTTCGAAAAATCCCTTAGTGTACAGTACATTCTCGTGACGTACCCTGTGTATCAACTTTCAATTTTCAACTCCTAACTGTTTGGATTCTGCGCTTATTATCATTATCGTTATTATCAACCCACCTCGATTATATTATAAGATTACGTTCTGTTATCTACAAATCTTACTAGCTCTGCAACTCATTTCTATCGTTATTTTATCTACCCTGTTTCAATAGCATGATAAGCATCATCATATTTAATCCTTTTC